TAAAAACTCATTAAGAAGTAATACGTCAAATAATTACATATCCATTTTGCCAATAATAAGAAATAGAAAACAAACCTAAATGTCACATTTAGAATATTTCTTATCTTAGAATATTACAATATTCCAATTTGTTTATTCTTTTCCTTTTATATATATTTTATACCTCAATCTGATTTTTATTGGAATTAGCAATGTTTTTAAATTATGAACTATTTCAAATACACAGAAACATGCAGAGAATAACATATCAGATACCCATAGCCTTATCGCCTTGTTCTGTTGAAGGCTCCCAGTTTGCAATATGTACTTCTGACTTTTTTAAAAATAAAAAATAGGGGCCAGCCCCGTGGCTGAGTGGTTAAGTTCGCACGCTCCGCTACGGCAGCCCAGGGTTTCTCTGGTTTGGATCCTGGGCGTGGATATGGCACCACTCATCAGGCCACGTTGAGGCGGCGTCCCACGTACTGCAACTAGAAGGATCCACAACTAAAATATACAACTATATACTGGGGAGATTTGGGGAGAAAAAGCAGAAAGAAAAAAAACAAAGAAAAAATAAGTACTTGCTTAAGTTTTCTGTAAACATAAAATTTTTCTTAAAAAGTAAAGTCTATTAATTTAAAAATAAGTGCTGCAAATATGATTGAAATCCCCAATGTACCCCTGCCCCATCCCATTTCTTTCCTTCCTCTATATAGGTAATCATTATCCTAAACTTTATTAATTTTGTACAGCATAATTTTTAATGTTATCGTGCTTTACAAAATGGTATCATATGCTTGTATCCTTCTGCAACTTTCTTTTTTCCCTCAACATTATGTTTTTGAGATTTATCCAAGTTGACAGATTTTGTTGTTGATCATTCTTTTTAACTGTTGAATGATATTCCATAATATGGATATACCACAGTGTGTTTATCCATTATTCTGTTGAGGAACATTTATCCATGTTATAGACTTTCAATGAACATTCTTGTATATGTTTGTGTCCACGTGAGACAAGTCTTTAGAATATATACTAGGGAGTAGATTGCTGGTGGAGTGTGTACATCTTCAACTGTTTTAGATAATGCCAAATTACCCTTCTAAGGGCTTCTTCCAGTTTGTACTGCCACTAGCAGTGTATGACGGCCCCCATTTCTCCACATCCTAACTAATGCCCAGTATTATCTTACTAATATTTTGGGTATGAAGTGGAATCTCATTGTCATTTTGATTTTCATTTCCCTGATTACTAACGGGTTTTTTAATATCTTTTCATATGTTGATTGGCCAATTAGTTTCCTCCATTATGAATTGTGCTTCATATCTTTTGCTCATTTTTCTTTGGATTTTTGTAGATTTAAAATTTTTATTTGGATTTTCAAATTTCGTAGAATTTAATATAACAATATTACTTTACGTATATAATTGATTTGTAATTCTTAATAAATACTGGACATTTTATTGGTTATTTGCTTTCCAAACATCTCCAAGTCTGTGGGTTGTCTTTTAAGTTTGTTTATGCTGACTTTCAAAGAACAGAAGTTTTAAATTTTAAAGTGGTTAGGTGTATCAATCTTTTCACTTATGGTTTATGATTTTTACGTCTTACTTAAGAAATCCTTCCCTGTGTCAGGATCACAAAGATATTCTCTTATATATTCTTCTAAGTATTTCTCTTCGTTTGGTATTGAATCTACTTAAGATTTATTTCTGTGTATTCTGTAAAGAAGGGATTTTATTGTATTTTTTCTGTTTATTCCCATTTATTCCATTTATTTCCATTCCATTCCTATTTATAGCAATTATCCCAATAACATTTATTGAAGAATTTGTCCTTTCCCCATGACTTGCAATAGGCTCTGTCATGGAACAAGTGTTCATCTGTCTGTGGATCTGGTTCTGTCTCTGTTCTGATCAGTTGGTGTGTTTGTCCTTCCCTGGATCAATACCGGTCTTAATCACTGTGGCTTTGTAAAATGGCAAATCCCTTCAGTTTGCTTTCTATGTAAATTATTCTTAACTAACCTAAATCCTTTGCTTTTCCATATGAATTTTAGCATCAGCTTGTTAAATTACATGAAGAACCATGTTGGAATTTTTAGTAGAATTGCATTGAGTTTATAGATTAGTGTTACTAGAGTCTTTACAATCTTAAGTCTTGTAGCCCTTAAACATATGGTATGATCTTTCCATTTATTATGTCTTTATTTTTATTTTATCATAATGTTCATAATTTTCTACATAAAAGTCTTACATGCATTTTGTTAAATTTAAACATAAATACCTTGTTTTCATTTTTATTTTCAGATAAATGTACAATCATATTTATTGCAAATTGAATCATTGTCCAGCACTCAAGTACGGTAGCTACTAGCTGAATGCAGCTATTTAAATTTAAGTAATTATTTATTTAAATTAAATTTAAAATAATTTTAAGTTAATATCAATTAAAAACTTAGTTAAAATTAAATAAAATTTAAAATTTAGTTCCTCAGTGTCATTAACTACGTTTCAAATGCACGACAGCCAAATTGGGCTGATGGCTGCCATGTTGGATAGCACGCCCAGCACATGTCCATCATCACAGAAACTTCTAATCGAGTTCTCTTGCAGGGCACTGGATCACTGCATCCAAATGTAAATATGAGTAACGCATTTGGTATTATGACTTTAGAATGTAGTAAAACATGAAGTCATGGTGATAATAGGTTGACATGGTTATTGCTGATCTGCTCTTGTCTTTTCATTTAGAAATCAAATTTTTATCTTGAAACTTTTCAAACATTCACAGAAGTAGAGAGAATAGTATAATTATCAAGAGTTTGCTAAACTGGCTAATCTATCCCCAATGTTTTCCTTCAGTTTTTGTAAAAATGCTGTAGTGAAAACTTCTAGCATTTCCTTTTAGTCCTGCATGTGTGCATCTACATTTATAAAAATACTGACATTTTCTTACATAGTCAGTTTCCTCGTATAACCACCGTTATCACACCCTGCAATATTAAGAATCATTCTGTGTTTTTCATCTAATACCCAGTCCATATTCAGATTTCCCTAATGTTTAAAAAATTCTTTTTGTAGTTGTTTTGTTTGAATCAGGATCCATACAAGGTCCACACATCGCATTTGGTTGTTGTGTATCTTAAGTGTCTTTTAATCTAGCAGTCCCCCTTCTCTCACCTTTTAATTTTTGTGCCATTTTCTTGTTGAAGAAACTGGATCAGTTGTCGTGTGTAGTGTCTCACATTCTGGAGTAGCGATGTCAATAGACCTTTCTGTGATAGTGGAAATATTCTTCTTCTCCCTGCTTCGGCTCACTACTTCCTTTGAGGAGGAAGGTTGGTCACCATTTTTTTTCCTCACCCTGCTGACTTTAAGCAGTAAAGCCATCTCTTCCTCTATCATGTATTGAGCACCGTTAGCCTCTGTAACATACAAGTCCATCTCCTTGCCACCGCGTCCTGCTTCTCGACAACGAGCCCAGGAGACCCCTGGATTTAGTCTCACCCTCTCCTTTGCTTATCTCTTCTATTTATGGCCTATTGAAATATTCATCTTACTTTTGAGTTCTACTCTGTCTTTTTAACTATTACGGCTTTATGTTTGGGGCAGAGCAGCTGTGTTGAAGCAGAAATTCATCTTAAGCAGAAGTCCTCATGCATTCTTAATGCAGTTTGCTAAATGAAAAAATCTCTGAAGTTTTTGAATTCTTGATTACTTTATCCTGTGTGTTCTGGTTTTGTACAGAAAACAGAATTATTCTCACCCAGTCACTCACCCTCTCTGGCTGCATTTGTCTCAAATGTATAATGAAATGGTTGGACTAAGTCCTTTCAGCTCTCAGAGTCTATAAATCAAGAAAGATGTAAAATTACCAAGCGGAATAATTTACTCCTGAATCTAAAGCAGTTGCTCCTGAGTCAAAATCAGCATTCTCCAAGTTGAAAAGATAAAAGCAGAGATAATATAAGATCTCAGTTTCGATGATTGCAAAGGACTTCTTAGATGTTAGAAGTGGGAAGCACTTCTTGAAAAACCAAGAGGGAACTTAGAATAAATAAAATGCAGTTTTACATTAAATACCAGGTAATAATCAGAAGAAATTTGTCCTCCAAGAGTCCAGGTTGAGAATATATATTATTTTAGGAAGAGTTTAAATAATTCATATATATTAGTTGTTGAAGGTAATGGGGATTTTCCTTATGTGGAAACGACTCGGCTGCCCTTGAGATACTCCTAGTTGCCTGCCAATAAGGCCGCAGAGGACAGTGAATTGAATTTGACCTAATATGATACGTTTGGGATTATTTCTAATTATTTTTAAGGCTTACTTTTAGAAGTGTTATACTAAGATATTTTTATCTAAAATAAAAATGTATTATCTGTCCTTTGCGAGATGTCAGTTTTGGCCATAACATTATAGAATTTGAACTTTTCTTTACAGTTTTTGCTCCTTTTGTATTTCATTGTTTTATGTAAATTGTAGGATTAACATCTTGCAATAGCATTTTATAAGAGATCAAATTGTAGGAAGAATATAATTTATGGGCCTAGAGATCTTGAGGAAAACTACCTGTGTATCTGAGCTGTTAGCATTGTCTGTCTTAGGGGCAGGGTGACGGACTACATATGAAATGCGTTGATGGGTCGCATTTCTTAAAAGGTCATTTGTACCTGAAATTTCACTTGCTTTTCTGGTAAACCGATCTCAGGTGTTAAGTATTTTACTTAATATAGTTTATTACTGGTGTAAAGATCTGAGTCTGAATTCATTTCATCAGTTCTTTCATTGTTTTATTAATAAGCGCTGTAACACTTGTTTTGTGTCATTTAAAAAGTTATATGTGTACTTGATGTACAAAGAAAAACAATTAGAGAATTGCACAAAGTAAGAAGTGAAAGGCCCCGTCCCCCTCTGCTCCACCCCGTGTAGCCACCAGTAACTCTTTGGGACCTGGAGGGGTGGTGCTTCACACACCTTCGATCGTGGTTTCAGATGGGAAAATCTCATTTCAGGTTCTGAGCAACATTCATACAGTCAGAGCCACATGGCAACCTAAAAAGCCCAAAACTTGGACCTTTTCTCCCCAGGTAAGTAATCTGCTGCGTGAATGGGATGAAACATGAACTTCTTTCACCTGTTAAATGTTAATACAATTAATTTCTAAAATGAGGCTGTCAAGTGTATTCCTGAAATAATGTATTTATGTTATGCACAGAATATATGGCACCAGATTTGAATCTTTAGATTCTTTAAAGTTCTTTGAAGACTTTGATAAAAATTACTCATGCTTCTGACTCACCAAAGTAATAATTCCTATGAATCATCTCATTCAGTGGATTTCAGGGTTCAATTTTAGAAAACGCCCTTTGATGAAAAATGAAAAGAAAAAGTTAAATTTAGGAAGTGTTTTTCAAAAACGAAATGTCCAACAGTGCTAATGTGAACTGTGCTTTCTTCAGATAAAATCAAGGGTGACACCTAGGGGCCTGGCACATTACACCCAAATACTGTCAAGACTTGGGAACAGAAAAGACTGGAATGGGGTTAGGCTTTCAAACCACTGACTCAGTATTACATAGATGCCAGTGAAGACAAAGATACCTTTATGTTCTTTTGATAATATAATTGTCTGTAGTTTATTTTACCTTACCTTTTTTCCTGCCTCCAAGGTTTCATTACTTTAGTATTTATTTCCCTACCACAACTAACTTCCTTGTGTCACTGCACCATTCGTTAACCTTCCTCTTATTGCGTCAAAAGATCTTAAAGCAAGATAGAGGTTCAATGAGAGGGCAGTGGATGTGGAGGAGGCCCAGCCGCCTCGCTTGTGTGTTGCATCTATCCCTGCTTGTCTATCACACAACTCCTAAAAGTCCGGTTTGATCTTCTGAGCACTCTTCTGCTTATGTTTTCACACAATTCTGATATTGCATCTCTCTGTATGTACAGAGTTTAGGGAAGAATTTTCTGATGTTTTCCTGAATATAAAGATGAACTGTTTGGAGGGATAACTAGTAAGTATGTGTGCCTTTGTTGAATGAAACGAAGCATCTGTTAGGTGCAAGGCCTTCTTCCTGGGTATTGCGGGAACTTACATGTTAGCAGGGAAGAAACGTATACACGTGTCATAGCAATATCCTCTGTTTATGGAACTCTGACCCTGTGCCAGGCACTGTGTAGGCCCTTATGTGCATTACCTCACTTAATCCTTAGCGTAGCTCTATGGGGTGGATATTGTTGATGACTATCACAAAGGCAGAATGTAATGGTCATGGGACTCCAAGTGCTGTCACAGCACAGAGGAAGGTGAGGCGAATTCTGGTCCTTAGGCTCAGGGAAGGTTTTGTAGAAGAGGGGCTAGACCTTGAAGGATGGGTAGAATTTTATAGACAGGAAAGAGTGATGCAGTTGTCCATGGAAAGGGAATGGAATAAGCAAAAGGGAAGGGAAAGGAAAATTTACAAGGCACACATCGGGAAAGTTGAGCAAATGTGTGTATGCAGCCTTTAATTTTAGTTCTGTTTACAAAAAACAGTAGTTAATATAAATGTCGTATTGTATATACATCCTGTTTTTGTAACACCTCTGGGAGCCTGGGCACAGTGCTTGTTTCATGGCAGCCTCTACTCTAAGCAAAGAGGAAGTGAAGGTAAAGCTATTTCCCTTTAACACAAAAGTTAATTTTTTTAATTTTAAATCATTGGTATGGATGAGTCCGATCCATCTGCTTTCTGTTTCCTTTAAAAGACCTTTACTATCATGCAAAGGCATAAACCATTTACGGGTGAATAGAGCTGAAACCTCCCTCCCATTTGTAGTTTTTATTAGTAACTTTAGTTTCTTTCTTGTTTCAGGTTACTGGCATCTTGCCCTGCTTGCTTGATGGTGATTGTTTTATCAGATCCAATTCTTCATCTCCAGATCTTGGAATATTATTTGAGCTTGGAATTTCTTATATTCGCAATGTATGTCAGTTGAAAGACAAAGCTTTCTAATGGATCAGTTAAAAGGAAGCCTTTTTTTAAAAAAAAAGTCTGTATTTACAAGTAAAATAATTGAGGTTTTTATGGGTAATAGAATTTTAATCTCTTGGTGCACCCAACCTTATGGCTGAGGCTTCTAATTAAGGGACCTGTCAGAGTGGTAATTTTCATAGAGAACACCAGAAATTTGGATGAATTTATGTGTAGGTCTGTGATAGTTAAATGTCCCCACATTCAAGCAATATCTTGGTAGGTAGACTTGTGCATATGCTTGGCCTCGAGGTAACCCAGAGAGCCAGTTGTTATCACATTAATGGTATTGTGCCATCCTTTCATGTCTTTGAAGCAAATTCATCCGTATGTGTTGTGGGTGGGTAGGGTAGGAGAGGGGAGCAGGTCCCCCACGTGAGTCCCAGTGGCCTTTGGCAGTTGACAGTGGGGGTAAAGTTCTGAGCAAAAAGCCCCTTGAATGGTTTAATTCATGCTTTCCCTCTCAGTGAGACAAGGCTTCATAATCCCATGTAGTGTTGATGTGGTTCGAGATCATTCCACAAAACGTTTGTATCACTCAGGAAGCAATAGCAGCAGTTGCCATGTCATCAGGTTTAGGGGATTTTCGACAGCAATTTGACAAGATAGGATTTTCACTCTACATACTGCCTTTACCATCTGATCGGCAAGTCACATGGGACTCCACCGTGTTTCCCTTTCTTTTCTTGTGAAGAATTTTTTAGTTCTAAAGGTGAATACTAATTTTGTTCCTTTAAAAGGACTTGGTATGTGCTTATAAATTTGACAGGTTCAACTATTAACTTTCATATACCTTTTTATTTTCTAGTCAACTGGTGAAAGAGGAGAATTAAGTTGTGGCTGGGTGTTCCTTAAACTTTTTGATGCCAGTGGAATTCCTATTCCAGCAAAGTAAGTTGGCTATGTATGCTTTCCAAATGAGTAATTTTGTAGAAGTTTACTTTTTAGATGCTGGATCCCTCAGGTTTGCAGTGTGTGTCCTGTTAGCGTTTCAGTCACTTTTGCAAGAGGGCCTTGACTGTTGGTGTTCTTTGAGGCGGTGTATGAAGACAGCGTGCGCAGTCTCATCCTGGGGAGGAAGCAGTGCCACAGGCAGAACAGGGATTTTAAAAGATGTGTGCAGCAGCTGTCTGCTGAGAATAGTCTCTCAGTGATCTTCTGTGGTGTTAGCACTTTTTGCAGTGCTGAAACAGAGTACATTCTCTCCAAAGAGGAAGAGAGCTGAGTCCGGGGTCCCCAGGTCCCCTGGGACTCCGCCTTTCTTCTGTAGGTGATACCCTGAAATTGTAGTGGCAGCCAGTGTAAACAAATATAAAATTTAAGACCAAAAGGCAGACTGGTAGCAAATATTTGCAATATATACATAACAGTCAGAAGATTATTATTTCTAATATGAAAAGAGCTCTCAAAAATGAATGAGAAAAAGACAATCCAAATTTTTAAATGGGTACACACAAAAAATCTAAATCTAGCATATAAACAAGAAATTCACAGAAGAGATACAAATGGGCAGTCAATAGGATGGTGAATAAGATCCTAGGTTTGGAATTATAAAATTAGGGCTCTAGTCCTGGTTCTCTGTAATTGTAAGCAGATTCCTTAATGTCTCCAAGCCTCAATTTTCCCCATATTTAAAATGGGGAATTATGATAGTTCGTACCTTAAAGGGTTATTGTGAGGATTAATTCTGATAATGCTCCTGACTCCCGTGGCTTCTAATTAAACCCAGGGTGGGTATGGCCTCCTTAACACACGCCGAGGTGAAAGTCCTGATTCCACTAGTCCTCCTCTGACGTCACCCCAGTCGAAGGGGGAGGGTACCTCCTTCCTCCCAAATGGATATAGAAGCCCAGGCTTCTTGTGATTTTTGTTTGTTTATTTTTAATAATGTTCAGGGTTTATAGTTTTACCTAGTGAGAGGGAAAAGTCTATTCCATCTTTCTGAAAGTGAAGTCACAGCTAATTTTTAAATGAGGTGGAGGCCTATGTATTGATTCAGAAACATCTCCAATGTATATTATTATATGAAAAAAGCAAGTTGCAGAATAGTATGTATTCTGTGACTCTACGTTTGTTCATGACAAGTTGTATTTGTGTGCGTGTGTGGATGGGATCTATGAACTGTTCCCAGGAGTTGCCTCTGAGGAGCAGAGCTGGGGAGGGGGCACAGGGGGATTAGAGAGGCCTTTACCTTCTATTTTCTACACTTGGGTAGTATGCAACCATCAATATGCTAGTATTGAGATTTACTGTATGTAGATATCTGTTTGCATTCGCATAGAAAAAGATAGGACAGGGAGCTTACCAAACTGGGGGGAGGAATGGGGAAGGATTTTTCATTTTTTAACTTAGCATTTCTATGCCATTCAAACTTTTTACAATAATCTATATGTTACTTTTATATCTTAAAAATGATATAAATTCATATAGCTTTATTTCAAATGGTGATTCAAAACATTTGAAAAATACATTAAAAAAATCATAAATTTCTCATTAACGCAAATCAAAACACTTTAATGACATCAACTAATCTTTCTCATTTTAACATGGAAAAATGTATTGTCTACAGTTCAGAGTTAAGAAAGAAGGGGACAGGGGGCTGGCCCCATGGCCAAGTGGTTAAGTTTGCACGCTCCGCTGCAGGCGGCCCAGTGTTTCCTTGGTTCGAATCCTGGGTGTGGACCTGGCACTGCTCATCAAACCACGCTGAGGCAGCGTCCCACATGCCACAACTAGAAGGACCCACAACGAAGAATATACAACTATGTACCGGGGGCGGGGGGGGAGTTGGGGAGAAAAAGGAAAAAATAAAAATCTTTAAAAAAAAAAAAAGAAAGAAGGGGACTGTTTATTTACTGAGATAATACCTCACGGAGCAGTCAGCAGCTTTCATTCTCATTTACCAATGAGACATAGATAAAATGTCTGTGACTGTATCTGTGCTAAAAAATACTTCACGACTGACTCCAGTGTTTGAAAATGTCCATAATATTTAATGTCTTGGTGTGTTTGTCTTTCGTAGAACTTACGAACTCTTCTTGAATGGCGGCACCCCTTATGAAAAAGGTGTGGAAGTGGACCCTTCAGTGTCCAGAAGAGGTACAGCCCTGATGTGTTACTTTCCTAACTTTCCTTAAAGATGAAACAAACAGAAGATGCATCAAGGAAGATAGCTATATTCAAATAGGCTTAACATTTTTCACTAGAATTCACGTTATAAAAAATATGTCATTTGATATTAAAATCTTAGTCCTTTTTATCTAAGTGCTTGTTTTCTTGGCAGCACCTGTGAGACTCTCCTGTAGGAAATTGGGAAGTGTGAGGGCCCTGCGTCCGTTCCTTCTCATCGAGCACTGGGCTGATCCCTGTGCCTGCACAGAATCAACAGAACAGGCTACTTCAGAGACTGCCTGTTGCTGGGTTAAAGGGCTCAGACGTTTCAGATTGCGATATACATGCCAGGTTGCCTTTCAGAAATACTGAGCGTCTGTTAATATGTTCAGTGACCAGGCACTGTGCTAGATAATGAGAAGGGAGAGTAAGACAGATATAGTCTTTGCCTCGTGGGACTCAGAGCCTGACAGATTTGAAACTCCCCTTTGCTTCTCAGACATCCAGCTCCTTGTTTGATGATTTAGGGCACACAGCATTGCTGCTGCCCTGGCAGCGCCAGTCCCACCTTCTTGGAAGAGAAAGGAGTTTGGATCCGGGAGGCAGTTGGTTCTACCTGGCGTCAGACATGCTTTTTAAACTCCCTTTTCCCCTTTATGATCTGGCAGCCGTGGTGCTGTCGCAGCATCTGATATAGCGGCGGCTCCAGGGGCCAGTTGTGTAACCCTAGGGAGGCCGACAGGCATTAACATCACACTGTATCTCGTTATTGGCTCCCTAGGTGTGTGGGTGACTCCTGCTTTTCACACAGTTCTGCACCATTGGTGCTGAAAAACGCGTTGCTTTATTATTTAAAAAATACTTTTCTTATTATAAAAATACTTTGTTTTATTATATTCACTGTTCCAAGCACTTTAAGTTTTGACATTTATTTTTCATTTTTTTTAAAGCACATGGAAGTGTTTTCTATCAGATGATGATAATGAGAAGGCAGCCTCAACTTCTAGTAAAACTGAGATCTTTGAACAGAAGATCAAGAAACATACTAAGGTTGGTACCAGTCTTTACCTGTCTGGTGAACTTGAGGTCATTCAGCATTTGTAGACCATCTCTACTTTTGGCTTCTCCTCCTGATTGGTCGTCTTTTGTTGGTTATTTTTTTCCTCACTAATTTGTCTGCCAAAGATCAGTAGGGAAAAGGAATAGATCTAAAGTTCAGATTAGCTTATTCTTCTGTTTACTAGTTAGCTCAATTGATAGATCTGGTCAAAAATAGTGTAGAAACTTTTGACTAAAAAGGGCTTAACATCCATGATCCTGTCTTCAGGGAACTTTTTTTAATGTCAAGTTTGTTGTATAATTTACATACAATAAAATTTACCCTTTTGGGCTTACAGTTGAGTCTTGGCAAATGTAGACAGTCGTTCACTACCACCACAATCAAGATAGAGAATGTTTCCATTGCTCTAAACGGTCATCCCATGGTCCTTAGAGTCAGCTCCTCAGGCCCAGACTCAGGCAACAAAGCAAAGAAAGTCTTCCTTTCCAACAGTTTTGCCTTTTCCAGAATGTATGTAAATGGAATCATGCAGTGTGTAGACTTTCTTTCACTTAGCAGAATGCATTTGAGCTTCGTCCATGCTGTTGCATGTGTTACTAGTTTATTCTCTTTTGTTCTAAATAGTATTCCATTTGATGGGCCATAATGTGTTAATCCATTCATTAGTTGATAGACATCTGGGTTTTTTCTAAGTTTGGGCAATTATGAATAAAGCTGCTCTAAATATTTACATATGAGTTTTTTGTGGGTGGACATATGTCTTCATTTCTCATGGATATAACTACTTAGGCATGGAATTACTGGGTCATCTGTGGTATTTTTGTTAAATTTATAATAAATTGCTAAAATCTTTTGCAAAATGACTGTACCATTTTACACCCTCCCCAGTAATATATGAGAGTTCTAATTACTCCATAATCTGTTTTTTTTCCTCTTTTCTCCCAAAGCCCTCCGGTACATAGCTGTGTATTTTTTAGTTGTGGGTCCTTCTAGTTGTGGCATGTGGGACGCTGCCTCAGCATGGCTTGGTGAGTGGTGCCATGTCTGTGCCCAGGATTCAAACTGGTGAAATCCTGGGCCGCTAAGGCAGAGTGCACAAACTTAACGACTCAGCCATGGGGCCGGCCCCTAATTACTCCATATTCTTGACAGCACTTGGTATTATCAATTTTTTTTCTATTTTGATCACTTTAATAAGTGAACAGTGGTATCTCATGGTGGTTTTAATTTGCATTTTCTTCAGAGAGCTTTTGCACTATTAGAATCCCAGATCTACCCATTTCTAACTCAGTAACCTCTTAGACTAGTCATTTCACCATCTCTCTCAGGATCACAATGTCTACATTTTTTAAATGGGCATAATAATAATATTAACCCCATAAAGTTGTAATGGGTTTTAATGAAAAGAAAGCATATAGAACACTTAGCTGGTATTTATAGTGCATGACACACAGTAAAACATAATAAATGTTAGCTGTAATTATTTACTATTATTATTATTATATGTATAAATAAATGCAAATATAATGCCAGGTAGATGGTGCTATATGTTGTAAAATTTGTTCAAATTAAGATGTACTATGTAGCCAGCAAGATTGGGGGGAATTTGAAATAGCCTTTGAAGGATTGGAGAGATGTGCCCATGTGAAGATATGAAGATGTGGAGGATAGGAACCTTCCACAGAGGGCACACAGTGGACGAGAAGGGTGGGAAGGAAGAGCATGGCATGGGAGCAGAGACTGATACCTTGAACTGTCCCACCAGGACCTCCTCATTGCTTGTAGATTATCAAGATGTAGGGTAATAAGTGAAAGCTTGGCATACCCCTCTCAATGGTTGCTTTTCTCATTCTAGGTCATGCTCTTAGTGTAAATATCCCTTGTTCTTATATCTAATACTGAAGTGTATTTTATAATTATAGTATTAACAGTTCAATCTTTCAATAACCATTAATAATATGTTCATAGGTATTATTCATTCTCTTGGCTTTTTTTTTACCTCCTGGATGTTCACAGAGCCTATAGAGTCTCTTTTTTGGCCAATCTTTCCTTGGAAAATTGTTATTTTTCAAGATTAAAAAAAAAAAGCACAGTAGCAGTCTTTGTAAAAGAAAAGCCCAAAATCCTGTTTGGCTTCATTCTTCCTGCTTCTTTGGCCTCACACCACTCATCTCGTTGATAAGCCTCCAAGAGTCCCAAAGCACCCCCAAGCATGTCTTTCAAGTGCAGCTCTTAATAGTGTTTCTTTGGCCCCAAATACTGGTTTGCAGGTACTTTTTACAATCTAGGGACCAAATTTGACTGGGCAGTGCAAAGGTCAGCTAGGCAGGTCTATTATTCCAAAGTGGTGAACGTTCTTCTCTATGCAGGGTGCTTAAAGACGGGCCCTGAGTCCTTGCCCTCCAGACCTCAGGAACTGAGGCACTTGTGGATTACAGCACACAGGAGGCCCTCGAAAATTTTGCTAAATCATTTCAAAGTAGAGATCTTCCTGCTAGTGTAAAAGGGTACTTCACAGGAGCTCTGCTCTGCCTCCTGCTGCCCCTGTGCTCTCTCCCTACCCCCAACCCCGCGTTGTCCTGGTGTCTGCTCTTCTCTCCTCTTAGAACCCACAGAGAGACTTGAGCACTGCTTTGAAATTGCTGCTCCACTTTGCATGATCCGGAAACGTACATTCCTGATAGTGTCAAGTGTGGGTTGGGGCACCGTGCTGGCGTGGCCCCAGGCCCAGGCTGGCTCTCTTAGAAACCAGGCCATAGGCACAAGGAAGCTGGAGGCCCTGGGCCTTGCTGCAGGGCCATGGCCACGGTGTGAGGGCTGTGCTGGGGTTCAAGGTGAAAGGCTGGGCACCAGCGTAGGTTGCTTTTGGACATCACTACTCTGAGCCTGTACATCCTAGAGGTGGAGACTTGGCAGGACTGCTCTGTCTCAGACTCCTCTTGCCTGACCTGCCACCTTCAGTGAACGGGAGAAGAAGGCGAATAATGGTACCCCCAGCCCTCTTCCCCTCCTTCAAAAGTACATCCCGCCTGTATCCCCAGCCTCCGTTGCTTAAAAAGTTCACCTTTGTTTAGCCAAATTTCTCTGCTTAAAGGAGAAAACACAGAGGCTCTTTCCATTGTTCGTAGAGACATACGATGGGGCCAGGGCCAAGGGCAGGAAACCCAGTTAGAGTTGCGTTAGTGCCCGTTTTTACCCACTATTGCTAGTCATCTTCAAACTGCCCTCTCACCAGCCACCAGTCTTACATGTGCGTATCCTTTGGATGTTGGGAGACCTGTGAAAATGCAAGGGAATCAATGTAGACTCATCTCCTTTACCAAAGAAACGGCACGGAATCCTGCTCCTGGATCTCGTTTTGTGGAGTCGTTTTGTCATGACCCTCCCAACATAAGACAAAAGAGGGAGCAAATAGGTCCTTCCGTTTCACCCAGACTCGCCTTTCTAATTTTGGAGCTGTTTTCCAAAGAGGTGTGACTTCATGTGATTTGGCCAAAGGCTTCTCAGCCCTGATGAGGGAAAGGCCTGATTTAGACTCAGACTCGCAGTGCGTGAGTTCTGAACACCAAGAACACTGGTCTGTAGGAGTAGGCTGTACACGTGTGTATAAATTTGCTATAAATTTGTTTATTTTCCTTTGCCTTTTTGATGCAGTCCATCTTTTTTTTTCTTTTACTTCCATTGTATTGTTGCTAACTATAAATGAGGTAATGGTGTTACTTGCCTGGAGCTCATTATTACGTTAGTCGCTTCTGCCACCAGGGTTTGCTGGTCTATCTGTGAGGTCAGAAAGAAGTGTATTGTTACTTCTTCAGCTCAGCCACCCTTTAGTAGCTCAGAGCTTTCTGGGAAAATCAGAGGATTTCCTAAAGAAAACTCTAATACAGAGCAGGCAGCATTGTCTCGTGTTGGCGGGAGGTGCCAGAAGGAAAGGAGTGCCGGCACTGTGGGAGGCCAAAGGCCTCTGATGCAGGCTGGAAGAGATGCCTGCAGACAGAGAGCAGGCGGGTCTCTGAGAGAAGGAACCAGTGAAAGGGAAGGAAGGAAAGAAGGAAGATCTCAGCCCCTCCCCTAGCAAAATCAGTGGCTGTTCTTCAGCATGAGACATCAGTTTGGGCATGCAGCTGAAACGCTGCCCACATGGGCCACAGACCAGAGGACAGGATGTAGAACAGCCCTTGGGAATCACAGTGTGAACACTGAGAAGGCAAGTGGTGGCATCAGGGCAGCTTAAATGGTCCCCTGCCGCCAGTCTTTGAAATCTAGGTCAGATATGTACAAGATCAGAATTTTAGCAAGGGTTGGAAAAAGATGGTTTCTGACTCTGTGTACCAAATGCTATAGATGACTGTGAAGTGTGGTAAGAGAACCTGTCTTGCTTTTTGGATGTTTCTAGAAATGCAGGGGTTAAGGAGTGGTCAAGGATACTTATTTAAATTCCATGAAACTAATTACCCATGGGATCCGTTGCTCCTGCGCCATCATAAGGGTCGCATTCATTCTGTTCTCTTCCAACAGGATAGAAACCAGTTACCTCTGTGATTAACTTTTCCTTCTAAAATGCTCATCCTAAAAATTAAAATACAGGATTAATTTACAAAAGTTAAGTTCTCTTTTAAAACTTTTGGTGGTTTTTTTTTAGTCCAAAGACATATTCCTCTTTGATAGAGAACATTGTTTGCAAGGTTTTTGAAATTTCCCATATGGTCATTCTTCCTGCTTAGTGACAGAGTTCCTGTATTTCTAAAAATAACATTTAGAAAATGTGTATTTAGAATGACTCAGGACATTTCTTGAGTATCTTCTAAGGTTGACTCTGGTGCTCAGTATATTCCCAGTAATTATTTGGTGTGCGGCGTGTGTCAAGATTTTAAAGCACTCGCTTGTCATCTTTCCAGATTATTATTTTGAAATCTCAATATTGAAATTTTGTTTCTATTTTATTATTCCTTAGTATTTTCTTCTTTTTGATGCTATTGAAATGGAATTAATTTCCTTTTCAAATTGTTCATTGTTAGTGTATAGAAATGTGACTGATTTTTGTATGTTGATTTTATGTACTGAAGCGTTGCTTAATTTATTAGTTCTAACAGGCTTTTTGTGGCATCTTTAGAGTTTTCTTCATATAAGACCATATATCTATGAACAGAGATAATTTTACTTCTTCCTTTCCAATTTGGATGCTTTTATTCATATTTCTTGCCTGATTGCTCTGGCTAGGACTTCCAGTAAGGTGTTGAATAAAAGTGGTGAAAGCAGGTATGCTTTTCTTGTCTTTCAGCATTAAATATGATGTTAGCTGTGGGGTTTTCATCTGTGACCTTTATTATATTGAGGTAGTTTCCTTCTATTCCTAGTTTGTTGAGTGTGTGTATTATGAAAAGGTGTTGGATTTTGTCAGTTGCATTTTCGGCATCAATTGAGAAGATCAGGTGGGTTTTTTCCTTCGTTCTGTTAATGTAATGTACTACATTGATGGATTTCCTTATGTTGAACCATCCTTCCATTCCAGGAATAAATACCACTTGGTCGTGGTGTATAAACCTTTTAATATGCTGCTGAATTCTGTTTGCTAGTATTTTGTTGAAGACTTTTGTATCAATATTCATCAGGAATGTTGGTCTGTAGATTCCTTTTCTTGTAGTGCCTTTTTTGTTGTTTGTGTAGGTGTGTGTGAGGAAGGTTGGCCCTGAGCTAACATCTGTTGCCACTCTTCTTCTTTTTGCTTGAGGAAGATTGTCCCTGAGCTAACATCTGTGCCAACTTTTCTCCATTTTTGTATGTGGGATGCCACCACAGCATGGCTTGATGAGCAGTCTGCAGGTCCACACCCAGGATCTGAATCCTCAAACCCCAGGCCACCAAAGCAGAGTGTACAAACTTAACCACTACACCACTGAGCTGGCCCATTCTTGCAGTATCTTTGTCTGGCTTTGGTATCAGGGTAATGCTGGCCTCTTCAAATGACTTAGGAAGTGTTTCTTCCTCTTTGGCTTTTTGGAAAAGTTTAAGAAGGATTGGTATTAGCTCTTTTTGAAATGTTTCATAAAATTCCCCAAGAAAGCCATCAGGTCCAGAGCTTTTCTTTGTTGGGATATTTTTGATCACTGATTCAGTCTCCTTACTAGTTATAGAGCTATTCAGATTTTCTATTTCTTCGTGATTTAGTCTTACTGGGTTTTGCATTTGTAGGAATTTGTCCATTTTATCTAGACTATCCAATATTTTGGCTTACAGTTGTTCATACTACTCTCTTATAATCCTTTTATTTCTATAAAATCAGAAGTAATGTCCTCATTTTCAGTTCTAATTTTAGTAATTTGAGTCTTCTCTCTTTTTTTTAGACCACCTAGTTAAATGTTTGTCCATTTGGTGATCTTTTCAAAGAACCAACTTTTGGTTTAATTGATTTTTTCTGTTGTTTTTCTAGCCTCTATTTTATTTATCTCTGCTCTAGTCTTTATTCTTTCCTTCCTTCTGCTAGCTTTGGGTTTAGTTTGTTTTTCTTTTTCTAGTTTCTTAAGTTGTAAAGTTAGGTGATTGATTTGAGATCTTTCTTATTTTTTAATGTAAATGTTTATAGCTATACATTTCCCCCTTAACACTGCTTTCACTCTGTCCCATCATTTTGGTATGTTGAATTTTCTTTTTCATTAATCTCTCAGTATTTTCTAATTTACCTTGTGATTTCTTCTTTGATCCATTGGTTGTTTAAGAATGTGTTGTTTAATCTCCACTTATTTGTGAATTTTTCAGTTTTCCTTCTGCTTTCCTTTGATTTCTCGTTTTATTCAATTGTGATCAGAAAAGATATTTTATATGATTTCAGTCTTTTAAATTTATTAAGACTTGTTTTCTGGCCTCATATATGATCTATCCTAGAGAATGTTCCATGTGCCCTTGAGAAAAATGTGTAGTCTGTTATCGTTGGGCAGAGTGTTCTGTATGTGTCTGTTAATTAGAGTTGGTCTACAGTGTTGTTCATGTCCTCTATTTCCTTATTGATCTTCTGTCTGGTTGTTCTATCCCTTATTGAAAGTGGGGTATTGAAGTCTCCTACTATCCTTGTAGATCTGTCTATTTCTCTCTTCAATTTTGTCAGTGTTTGATTCATCTATTTATGAGCTCTAATGTTTGGTGCATATATATTTATAATTGTTAGATCTTCTTGGTGAATTGACTCTTTTATCAATATATAATATCCTTCTTTGTCTCTTGAAACAGTTTTTTGGCTTAAAGTCTATTGTGTCTGATAGTATTATAGCCACTTCTGTTCTCTTTTGTTTACTATTTGCGTGGAATGTCTTTGTCCATCCTTTCTTTTTCAACCTGTGAGCGTCCTTAGATCTGAAGTGAGTCTCTAGTAGGTAGAATATAGTTGGATTCTGTTATCCATTCTGCTCATCCATGTCTTTTGATTGAGGAGTTTAATCCACTTACATTTGAAGTAATCACTGGTAGGGAAGGACTTACTATTGCCATTTTGTTATTTGTTTTCTGTATGTCTTATAAACTTTTGTCCCTCGTTTCCTCCCTTACTGCCTTCCTTTGTGTTTGATTTTTTTTGTAGTGACACACTTGGATTCCATTTTCATTTTCTTTTGTGTATATTCTATAGATTTTTTTTCCTTGTGGTTACCATGGGGATGACATATAACATCCTAAAGTTATAACAATCTATGTTAAACTGATACTAACTTGCTTCAATATTGAAATGTTTTTGGGCCCTTACTATGTACCATGAATTGCCTTAAGCACTCCTCATTTACCTCAGTTTAGTCCTTCTAGTAACCTTATGAAAGGCAGGTATTACTATCTGCATTCTACAAAGGAGGGAACCAAAACACAAGGAAAATAATTAATAATTAACCCAAAGTCCCATAGCTCTGAAGTAGCAAAGTCAGAATTCAGTCCAGGTCTGCCACACCCTCCCATGTTCCACCCAGCACCACGAACAGGCTGAATTCATGTTTCCTCTACATTCATCATGTCAAGTAGGGTGGCCACATGGCTTTGTTAAAACTTGTACCTGACAAGTCCTTTTCTATCCAAAACATGTAATTGATGACTTTTCTTTTTTGTTTGACATTTAACATGGGTGTATTTGCTAAAATGGAAGCACAGGAATGGCGACATAGAGTTGAGACTCGAAAGTATCCACATAAAAATATAAATTATCTGAAGTTTAATGTAGCCAACTTATAGTGGAAATTGTCCTTAAAATTGTTAAACAATATTTTCCAATAATGAAGCAAAACTTGGAACTGTTCTTTAAAGTAAAAATATACATTTAAAAATCATTGTAGGTTGGATTGTAGGGGATTGTTTAATGAATACTATTTTTTCTTCTTTAATAGTCTACTGCCAGAAACATTAATTGGAAGTATGTGCTCCATTCATTTATTGATATTTTATCGCCAAATTCTTGGAGATGTGCTCCTGAAAGACAGGACAAGCATGCAAAGTGCTGGTAAGGGGTCTTTGCAACTTCCTCATGTTCAATGACACACCATGCTTTGAGTAAATGTAACCTATGCCAACCTATATCTTCTGTTTCTGAAGGTGATGTTTGAACTAAAATATTTAGAATAGCACCGACATCAATAAATTACTTCGGATACAAAATGTTATACTTAGTGTGTATTATGTCTGAGCACAGTATATAGTCAATTCTTTACAATATACGTACTTTCACATTTCAGATTCTTGAAATTTGAGATCCTCAAACTCAAATATAATCATATTTTCCATTGCTATCTCTGAATAATCTGTTTTTACCGTGTGTTTGCTATGTGCATCATCTTTTGGGGAAGAGACTGAAATCACCAAAATAACTGTTTCTTAATGCACACATTGTAAGTATCAATGGATTAGTTAAGATTGGTGAATCCAGGTGAGAGATATTCAGGAGTTCTATGTACTCTTTTTATTGTTACAACTTTTTTGTAAGCTTGCAAGTAAAATATTAAAAAATAATGTTAACAAATCAATGAGTTGTCACACATGATTGAATTTGCAAAGAGGAATGAATGTGTTGTAAGAATTGCCTCAAAAATAAATAGTTTAACTTCATTGGCTATTCTTTGAATTCAATAAATCAGTAAGCAGATAGGCCTACTGTATGCCAGGCATTGTGCTGGGCCCAGCAATGAATGAGATGGGCATGGTCATCCCTACCCTAGTGTAGTGACAGGCCTCAAACACAAAATTACATAAGTAATCCTTTTCACCTTTTAAACTAAGTGTTCTGAAGGAACATACACAATGAAAGCATACAGTAGGAGGGCCTGAATTAACGTGTAAGATGATGGGAGCCTTCCCTGGGCAAGTAGTATTTAAGATAAGATGTGAGAGAGGAGTTAGAGTTATAGGGGAGGTGGGCAGGGATGATCCTTTCAGGATGGAGAGATCAGCATATCTGAAGACCCAAGGCAAGAAAACGTGAATGTGTTGGAAAGACTGAAATTGAAAGGAGGCCAATGTGGCTGGAGTGGAGTGAGTGAGAGGGAGAGCCCTGTGATGGCTCGGTGCTCAGGGACGAGTAGAGTTCATGCTTAGACAGGAGTCCTCTCCCAGGGATTTACCACCTGGGTAGGTCCCTGGAAATGGATCTCAAAGTCAGAGAAGCACAGACATTTCTCAAGGAACGATGACAACTCTAAAGGAAGGACAGTTAAGCCTGTTAATCATCACTTGCCTTTAAATTTATTTCAATGACTCCAGAAAAGCTTCATGAATGACATGACTTCTTAAAGAGGGTAAGGCTTATTAGTTTTCTTATGGGTTAGGAGAAGGTTCTTAGAATCATTGACTTCACTTGAACCTGACCATCAGAATAAACCTAGTATAATCTAGAAACAGGGTTTTCTCTACCAAGGACTCAAGCTTGTGGAATACATTCCCCCTGCCATTTCAAAAGTGCCCTTCCCAGTGGGCTTCTGTGCACAGTCTCATGTGTCATGATTAGCTGTGAAATATCAGTATTCTCCTACACAGTATTTGGCATGTGGCCAGAATCCCAAAATGTGATTCCCTCCAGTTTCCTCCTCCACCATCCAGTGACACCCAGACACCAGTCTGGGGTCCTTCCCTGAGCGCTGGGGGACTGGAGTCAGGCCTGAGCAGCCCACCCTGCGCCTCCTTTCCTCTGGCTTCCTGGTTCCTGCTCAGCCTTCCAGGAGCGGGGGGGCCTCCTAACTGGAAGATTCCTTTCACCACACCACAGTCATGAGGAGGAAAGAGAGGTTGAAAAAAACATAGAAAGAAGAACAAAGTTTTCTAGTCTTATTCTGTCAGAGCCCCTTCACTCCCACCCTAGAAGTCTTGTCTACTTGGGCCAAGACCCACTTCAGAGCTCCCTGGGGTGTGGATGTCGTAGGGGCAGGTGAGGTGGAGGGGATAGCTTTGAGCTCTCCCAGAGGTTAAGGTTGTAGAATGTGTTATCAACAAATCATGCGGAACAGTAATTTGATGCTTTTATGTTAAATGCAGTAAAATAGACTGGATAAGTTTGTATAAAACCCCTTTTGTTCTTTGTATTTCAGATTTAATGAGTAATCCTGTGCTGGCCACCTTCCCCAAGCTCTTGGAGCAGCCTGACGTGATGGACGCTCTCAGGGTGGGTAGGCTGCATCATGATGGAAACCTGACGGGCTCTGAAAGCAGTTACACTCACCAAGTTACTGCGTTATGACACCTGCTCTATGTTGTTCTTTCCCTATTTGGATGATGTCTCCCAATCCTTGTCCTTTGTCTGGCTAACTTGGTCTCATCCTTCCTTTCTTAGTATGAATGTGCCTTCCCCAAGGCCGCCTTCCTAACCCAGTAAGTAGAGTATGAGCTGTGTACGCTATTGTGATCTCTTACCTGTGGTTTGTTCCTTGACTCAAGATGACCCCTGATTGTGTCCTGAGAGCAAAATTCCAAAATGGCTTGTTAAATAAATCAACTGAATTTTCAGGGGAGAGTTAGGGCATGTATATCATTTTTAATTTAATTTGATTTATGCTGTCTATGAAATAGCAGGTGGATATTAGGTTGACCCATATGAAATCTTTAATTTTTAGCCATTTTTTGACCTTCAAGAATGGCAGTTTCAGAAAGTTCAACTTTATATATCAAGGGCAACAAACATTAGAAGACCCGTATGCCTGTGAGGCAAATACTCAGATAAGATGACAAGTGCCCCAGGGGGGGCATAATCCAGGTCCTTGGAGATTTGAAGAAGGTGGCAGTGAGGCTCAGGAGTCTGATTCATTGAAGAGGTCCTCGGCGAGCTGGATCTGATGACAGGCTGAGGGCCCAGTTGGGTTTTGACGTGCTGAGAGGGGAGGGGAAGACATTACAGGTGGGAGGATGAGCATGAGCAGACATTCTGAGGCAGGAAGGATTAGAGAGCGCTCTTGAGAGGAGCGGATGATCCAGCTGTCAGGTCAGATGTCCTCTGTCGATGGGCAAGGTCCATCTGAGCCTCAGCTGAGGGTGAGCAGTGTGGGAGGTGGGGAGCAACCCGTGAGCTTTTTTGCTTCAGGAAAACTGGCAGCACAGAGAGGTTGAAAAGCACCCGTGCAGGAGGAAGGTGAGCTGTGTTAGGAGGTGGCCCCTGTTGATAAGGAGGGAGGTCATGTGGGCCTGACAGAGATGTGAAAGGAGGAAGCAATTGTCTGCAGAGGTTTTTATTAGACTTTTAAACTGATTGCATGTGCTGGTTTGGCTAGGATGGGGGTGTCATCAGTAACAATGAAATCTTCAGTAGAAAGACTTAAGAAAATATTCATGGCATCTGATTACCCATAATTTCAGACAAATTCAGTTGGCACTACTGCTAGATAATACAGAATTTCTCATTCTTCCTTATAAAATCATTAGTATCACCATATTTATTCATTACACAGAACATACGTGTGCTGCTTCATTCAATAAATATTTCACGAGAGCCCACGATGGCTAAGGCCCTGTGCCAGGCTCTGGAACATTTCTCTAGAAGTGGAACATTCATGGAATCTGGACTTTGGTGTTAGGAGGAACCTGTAGTCTGAATTCTGCATTTCCTGATGAGCAGCTGGCTCAGAGAAGTGCAGTGACCTGGCTGGCTGTGGCGCTCAGCAGTGGCCGGGCCAGGGCTGTCACTGCAGGTCAGCTCTGGGTGCATCCAGATATGCCACAGGCTCTTCTAGAAAAGGCTTGTGGGTAAAGTTGTTCACAGATATTATGAAGTGAAAAAAAACATTTGAGGTATAATAAGTATATTTAACTATTTATATGTATATATCTGACTGTGGAAAGGTCTGGAAGAATATACCCGAGGAAGGTAGCAATGATTACCTCTGGATCATGGGTTATTTTGTTGATCTGTATTTTGTTAGTTTTTCCACCATGGATTATTTGTATAAGAAATGATAGAAATAAAAAGAGTGGTTTGCTCCTGCACCCTTGAGCCTTCTCCTCATGGCGTCCTGTGTCACTAAGGATAAGCCAGGCTGTGTGGTGGTAGCTGCACAGGTGTATTTCTCACTCATGGTACCTTCCAGATGGATCAATGGGAGACCCTGCTCCATAGTCACCCGAGGGTGCAGGCTGGTGGAGGCTTCTCTTTTTCACGGCATCATCTGGAAGGCAGGGCTTCCTCTGTTGCCAGTTGCCCTCCAGGAAAAGAGAGAATGGAGCATCGTCCTTGGACTCTCCACTGCCCTTGCCCCGAGGCAGCACTGGCGCTTCTGCTCAGATTTCATTGGGCGGAACCAGTCACGTGGCCCCACTTAACTTCAGGGGAGCTGGGAGGTCTGGTCTTCTGTTTGCTCCAGAAGGAAGGGAGAAGGGGATCTTGGTGCGTAGTGGTGACTCCCCCACGTTTGCTGTTCCCCACTGAGTTACCATAAGTGCAACACCCTACAGCTGGCTGGGGCTCAGTGCAAATGAGGTGGGACCTTGATGCTTAACTGACAAACAGTAGGCACATTTCACCAGACATAAGTCTAAAGTTGTCTCATGATATTCCCGTTAAGCCAGGTACCTTTTGAAGTTCACATTGTGAAGTGTGTGAGCCTCGCAGTGTGAAGTTAGCTAGGTTCAGTTTGTTGTTGGGGTTTTAACGTTAATGATGGCACCTGGCCTGTTTAGTAAGACACTCTGGCTCTCTCAGGGTCCTCTTCACACTCTCCAGGACCCACAGGCACAGCCGTCAATAGGGTGGAGAACCACAGTTCCGTAAGATAGTTCCTTCACAGTAGTAACTGACCATTCCAAGATGCGGTACGTGAGTGCACAGCCTGTGGTCTCTTGGTGGAAACTTCTCTTTTATTTCATGGAGCATCTCTTTCTTGGTGCCAGATGTCATGTTCACCCCAGGGCCTTCCTACTGAAAAGGGCCGATGCTTTCGTGTAGCCCATGAAATCAGGCCCCAACAGGAGGAAACCTGCAGACAGACATGAAACCGAGGCCCTGGAAGGAGCAGCCGGGAGACTGCACACTGCCCCACGCTCACAGTCTGCCCAGAACCGGCACTGAGTGCCTTCAGTTCACACTGCCGTGGGGTTAATGGAACTCTGGGTTTCTTATTTCTTCAAAGAAGCTCTGTGAAGCCTTGTGGATAGATTGAGAGTATTTACTTGCAAAGCTGCCCTTCAATTTATTAACCTGACTGTTGTCATCATCATGGCAGACAGAATTGTAGAGAAGTATGGTATTTGGCAGTTTTCTTTTTCATTAGTGTCTCACCTTAAAAGCTCACTAGTATTTTATTGTTCAGGTGCTGTGTTTTCATGGATGTGTTAGTGTTTCACTGATTCTGTTCTTGAATTAATTTTGACTTGTAAGAATCGTGGGCTCCTGAGGCATCTTTCACGGCCCAGTCAGTCTGGTTCCGGGTTGTTGGAACAGATGCCACAGACCCACTTCTTATGTGTGTAGGTTCTGTACCATGTTTTTAGCCCTGTTCATGAGTTTCATTACAGTGACCTTGCAGAAGTGTGACGAAGACTTGTGAATACTCGGCTTACTATCATATTTCTGTTTTCTTTTTAGAGTTCGTGGGCTGAGAAAGAAAGCACATTGAAGAGATCAGAGAAGGTAATCTGATTTTCCAGCTGCACTTAATGTTTGCTGTGCTCACTGTTTGCTTGCACCTTCTAATAATGCCTCTGCTTCAGCTAAAGTAGCCAGAGTCACATCCCTCTGAATCAGGTCAACTGTGTCACTGTGGTTGCAAAGACACTTTCCAAGAAGGGTACGGGTGATCAATTTCTAATGTGAAAAGAAACACGTCATCGAGACAGTTATTTCAGACCACTGAGTTTTATTGAATTGAGGGAAAGTTTCTAAACCAAAGTCTCCCAGTTGGCTATGAAATTTCTCTTGTTTTTAAAAGCTCCTCTAACTCTCAAGTCCATATCCGGTAAGGAGAAGGGAGAAAATTGTAAGCTGTGTCACACACTGAAAAGGTTCACGGCTGGTGCTTACATCGCCACAGAGGTGCGGTCGTTACCAACCAGAACTTGCCTTAGTCAGTGAGTGGGGGCTTCACTGCTCCATCCCAGGACTCAACAGACTTGTTCAGTAAACAAGATGGTAAATATTCTTGGCTCTGTAGGCCCTGCGGCCTCTGTCACAGCTGCTCAACTCTGCCGTTGTGATACACAGCAGCTACTGACTACGTAAATGTCTGAGCAGGCCTGTGTTTCTATAAAACTTGAGTTATAAAAAGAGGCAGTGGGCCACATTTGACCACGGTCCATGGTTTCTGAACTTCTAAAGGGTTAATTATCTACCAGGAACGTGGGAGAACAAACCAACCAAAAACCCTAAACAGTGAAAAAAAATTCACATTGTGTCTTTCTTTGAGTTTCCATATGACCAGTACCATCTACACTTTGCTAAAATTGGCAGATTTGATGCAATTCTAGCACAGCAGTGGCCAAGGTGCTGGGCCTCAGGCCCGTAGAAATTGCCCCCTTCACGTGCTGTGCTTGGAGAGGTGACATCTGTGTGCAGACCCTGCTGCGCACAGACATCTCCACCGTCGGCTGCTGTGCGCTCTGAGGTTCCCACCCGGCCTGTCGGTGTCGGGGGTCACTGACTGTGCTGATACGGCAGGCCTCGTGTTATCTGGGGAGGGTCTGACCACACTGCTCCTTGGGTCTCCTTTCTCTGGGTCTCATGCGGAACACTTGCTCCCCTTCTCTTACGACAACTCGACAATGTCTCTGATGCGCTGTAGTTGAATTAAGTGGATACAGCTGACTTCACATTGTCCTTTAGTCATATTTACCTGGAGCTACATCCTTGTCCCCAGAATTAGGTTTCAGCCCCCACTTTCCTTGATGGGATGTGTGGGACACCCTTGTGGAGCTTAGGAGACACCCAGGTCTCAAGGAGCCGCTCCCGGACTCTTGGGGAGAAGTGCTTGTCTCTACTCCTCGGTGACTCTTGCTGCTTCCGCTGCAGAGAGCGCTGTTTCCTGACTGAGTAGCTGGTTCACAGCCATCACCTGCCAGGCACTGCTGGCCCCTCTGTCCCTCCCATTAGATGGCTTCTAGTTAACAGAGTTCATAAATTTAACACTGAAAAAATGATGGCGCAGATCCATTCACAGTTACTTGTGGTGCCGTTGTCCCCAGAGAGTCAAAGAGCTCCTGAAGGCTGCGTTCGTCCTGGTCTACCACGACTGCGCGCTCCCTCTCCTCCAGTCCACACTCCTGCCCCCGTTCAGGTGGGCGGAAGGAGAGGCTGAGGCTGCCCGCTGGAAGGTGATCGCTGACTTCCTCACGGAAACCCGAGAGAACGGGGGCGCCCTCCACGCTCTGCTGTCCCCAGATGGGCTCCATGAACCCTTTGACGTTTCAGAGCAGACCTATGACTTCTTGGGAGAAATAAGAAAGAATGCAGCCTGACAGTGTGGCCCTGATGCACCCTCCACGGTGACCTGAATAAAGCGACAGAACCAAAGTAACTGTCGCATCATGACTTAGGCTTTACTCTTTCTTGTACAGCCCACGTTCCATTAGAAATATTGATCTGATAATTGGAGTATGTTTTAATACAATAAAATAAATTCTTATATAGAATACTATTATACCACAATTTAAAGAGATTTTTTTTCAAAAACTGTATAACTTACATTTAAATTGATTATATCTATAGATTTGCATAAAAGCAAGATTTTATCAAAAGCTAAATTTATAATTATTCAAGAAAGTAAAAATACAATCCATGCAATAGGAGAAGATATTTGCAAATTATATATCTAAGAGTCTATTATCCAGAATATATAAAAGTATGATTATTGCTAATAAAATTTATGTTGTGAAATGATGGGAAAATCAGAGTAATCTATTTGAGAAAGTTGTGTTATTGATCACTTAATTCAGTCTAATATTTTAATGTGATTTGTGCTAATTAGATATAAAAGGAGAATCTAGTTTTGCCTTTTCAACTCTATATAATAAATGCTCTTTAAAAAACAAAACAAAACTTTCAGGCTTTGAGGAACGAGTTACCCCACCCCTGTGTCAAAGAACAAAGGTTTTAGTGCATTTCAAATGCGCTTGTGACAGCTGGTAAATTGCCCCAAGCCTCACTGTTCATAATAATAGTACAGCGGGCATTTATTGAGTGCCTACTGTATCTGTCCTCAATTAACTCGGTTAATCCTCACAACTATTGTAAGAGGTAGATACTGGGTTTTTCTAAATCACAGCTGAGGAAACAGGCTGGGCTGGTTAGATAGTTTCCCTAATGTCAGAGCTAGCAAGCGGCACAGCTAATATGCCAAGTAGAGAAGCCGTGTGTCATTTCCTATAGCCTAAGATGTTCCCGTCGTCGGTGCAAATCTTTAAGAATTACATGTGAAGATGAAACGTGAGAAGGCTGTTTGAAGAAAACATGATCAAATTTGAAGGAATTTAGCCTAAATGATCAGAGTACCAACTGAGGGACTTTTTTTGACAGCAGCTGCCTTAATAGAGGCGTTCAGTTTAGAGCTCCAGCATGTTAGGAAACTTCTGGGCTGCATCTCAGAAGCTCACCCTACACCCTTCCCCCCGACACTGAACTTGGGCTTTCATCTCAGAAACTGACATGAGGAGAGAGGGTCCCCACCAAACGTGACAGGAGAGCTGGGCCTTGGAAAAGACCTTCCACTCCGTCTCCAGGAGCTGATTCCAGAGACTCGGTCCCTCTGCATCCCCTCCACCCTCAGGGACAGGGAAGCTGAGCCTCTGGACGCTGCCCACTTGCCCGTCACGATGCGGCCCTGACCGTCCCCTCCCCAGTGAGGCTCCCCTTCTCTGGGGCCCTGGCCCCCTGGCTCCTGCTGACCAGAGGGAGAGGGTTTCTGCCTTCGAGTGGAGACAGCGAGTGCACAGGGCCTTTCCCTGCTTTGTCGCTGAGTCGCCTCCTCTCAGGCCCCTGGGGTCTTGTTGGAAGGAAATGAAACCATGTCCCTCCCCACTGTGGAGGGCATTTTTCTGTAGAATCTTTAATTCCTGAGTTCCACCTTTCCGTTTTTTAATCATCTGGCTTATTCTTAGCACGAAGCCAGAGGTGGGGCATTCCGAGTGAGAGAAAGTGTTGCCGTGGATCCATCTCATGAACGCACAGCACGAGGGGAGAGAGCCTTCTTCAGGGCGTCTCCTCACAGACTGTCTCCCGTGTTCACATGAAATGTGTCGTGACTGACGAGCGTGGGCAGCTTTATGGTTGCTGATGCATGAGAAAAATATGGGGACACGAGAGAGACAGTTTCAGTAATGCTGGGGCCAAAGAGTGAGGCACAGAGGCAGTTGGTGGAACCGGAGGGGACAGTCCCACAGGGGCAGGGCGTCTGCCATTGAGAGACTCATGTTTTCTCTTTAGTCAGTGGAAGCTTTTTTTTAAACAATGAAACCTCTCTGGCATTTTAAATGCCACATTTTACCTTCCAAAACAGGAAGAGGTTGTCAAGGAGCCAAAAACATCCTGGAATTGAGTCCTGGGGGGTCTGTCTCAAGGAGCGTGGCTTGGCAACACGCTGAATTAATCATAAGAGCCGTGGTTGGGGAGCAGCAATTGGGCGGCCCGCAGGCCTTTGCTGAGTGACGACATACGTTTGCAGTACCTACCTGCGAGGCCAGCGGACTCCTCATATGGGGACCAGTGGGAGGGTGGGAGGGTGGGGATTCTAAACTGTGAGCTTCTCGGCCCCCTCCCCTCAGCCTCACAGCCTCGTAATTGGTTGAGTGTCCTCATCCATCAAGTCTGCTGGTGATGAGAAATGCTGCATTTCCCTTGCCTGGGGCCTTGGGCTGGATGGTTAGGGGAGGGAGCGTGTACAGGTACAAGCTCTGTCTTCAGTGGTTTTATGGTCTAATGTGTGAGGCCAGAACAACTCACTGGGAACCAGTTGAAATATATAATACCACGTACAAACGGAGCAGGTTTGACTTGCCAGCCCAGTAGCATGTGGGAAACCCATCAGTTTAACAAGGGAGGGAGCTAGAAGCATCATCTCCCAGCTGAGGGCTTTGCAGCATTATAGGCTCTCCTTGGCCGTGGACTGGCTCAGCTTCCTCGTGTATGAAGCCTTCCAAATTGGGAGGTTTTCTCGGGGCGTGGAGGTGCTCAGAGCTGGCTGTCACCTTGCTGCTTTGTATTGTTTCCTCAGAACAGAGAATCAGTGACAGAACCCTACTTAAGGCCCTGTGCATCTGAGCTTTATGATTGTCCATGTACTCATCCATTTATTCAACATACATTGGTTGAGCACCTATGACACCAGGCACAGCATGAGGCTTTGAGGACATAGTGGGGGCAGCGTGATCCCTGTCCTAATGATGCATGAGGTGGACAGTCATTACACAGAAGAACCACGAGGGAAGGGCACAGATTGTTAAAAGAGCCTATCATTGTGTCTTTGTTGTTGCTGTAATATTTAATCAACAACACTGTGGCCTGGGACGAAAGTGCCATAGCAGGCGCGAGAAGCAGTCAGTATAAGTATTCCTTCCTCTCCCCACTCTCCCTCTCCAAACTCCACCGTCCGGTGCGGAAGACTCAGATTCAGGTCCATTTTCCAACGAATCCACTATCTGAAACTCTGGAATGCGTGGATTTGATAACCCAGTATCCCTCAAAATCCAGATTTGCTGTCTGAACTCCTGATACTTGAACGCGGTCACCAAATAGACGTGGCCAGGGAGGGCAGGGCGGAGCGGCGAGTGGGTGACGAGTGAAGGGCTGTGGCGTCTCAGGTAGGACAATGGAGACCTGGGGCTCCACGGCCCCCGGATGACTGACACTGAATGAGGGCGTGCAGGTCTGCGCGCAGCCATTTAAAGTGGAAATCGTTAATGGAACACAGGACTTGACTTTGGTAGTGTGACTTTAGTAGTGTCTCATGTTTCTCCTGTCCTGGGAGGCAGGCTGGACCTTAACCTGCTCATGTGTGTCTGACTTTGTCAGCAGAGATTAACTTTGCAGAACTTTGTCCTTTCGAAGAGGCCCCTCTGCGGGGTAACAAAAAAATTCTGCAAGCTTTCTGAGCTGTTCTCCAGGTAGGTATCTCTGCATCACCCAAACATTATCCCACTGAGTTTCCTCTTTCCTGGCAGCTGTCCTTTGACTCTGAAGTGTTCTGTGCCTGCCCAGACCCCGTAGATACTGGGAGCCAGGCTCTGTTCTGCCTGACGGCCACAAACACAGCATAAACCACAAGTCCTCCCGAGCCTGGGCCTGTCTGTGGGAGCATTTCAACTCCCCTACTTGAGAGTTGAAGTGACCTGGATTTGTAGAGAGAGTGGTTTCAATCCAGTTGTGTCAGAATCAGCAGGCGAGAGCAGTGGGACGTGTGTGTCCCTGCAGCATAAAGGGGGACACACACACACACTGTTATCCCAGCTCCAGGACTGGGTTCTGAGTGGCTCGAGCTGATCAGAGTATCCCATTCCCCTGGTTGCAGTGATTGGATTGGGAACGGGCCAAGAGAGACCAAATTCCAGAAGATTTACTCACCAGCGCACCCTCCTTCCCCGCCCAGGGTAGTGGGAGCGGCGAGATCCGGAACTGCTGCTGCTGTGGCGATTTCTCACCAGGAAGGGAGAGCCTAGGGAAGTGAGTGCATGGGGGGTGGAGGGGTGTGGTGACACTGAATGAGGTTGAGAATGAAGACAAGTGCAGTGACAGCGACGGGCAGACCCAAACAGAGGAGACCTAGCTCTTTGGTAGCGTTGCTTGAGTCTCACCTGAAGCCAACAATCCCTCTGAACGTCTCGCTTACCTGAGGTAACAAATTCCCTTCCTCGTTACAGCCAGCTGGAATGGGTTCTTCCAATGCGTGCAATGGAAAGAATCCTAATGGATACACCTGTCTTCTTTCCCCGAGCATTTCTGGCTTTCTCTTGGCCTGCCCCTTAATTGTCAGGCAACCAGTAAATCTTTTCTGAAAAATGTATAAAGCAATTTATTGGTAGGGAGAGAATTTTGAGGAAGAGGAGCCCAAAAAGGAGATGAGTAGTTGTCTCCAAAGTCTTTATGACTGAGGGGGTAGATTCAATCATTCGAAACATTTATTAAGTGCCTACTGTATACCAGGCAGTATTCAATATGAACAAAGTTACTGTTCTCCTGAAGCCAACATCTTAGGGAGGGCAGGGCAGGGAGACAAACAGTATGCAAATGAACCAATAAACAAAAAAAAATATTAGGTAGTGATAGGTGCTATGCAGATAATCAAAACAGGCGGGTGCGGTTTTGATTCTGGGCAAATAGAGATGGATATCCCACTCTCCCCTCCTCTCCTCTGAATGCAGCTAACAGCCCTGGAGAGAATGCATGGGACAGCTATCTGAGGACTCAGAACAAATGGGAGCAGGAAGATTTGGGAAGGCAACCGGAGTTCAAAATACTACCAAACTGGTGATGAGTTTCCCGTTTTCTTGCCCCTAGTGTCTCCAGGCCTCGGCTCAGAGACAACGTGAAACCCAGAACTGTGCACAGCGTACAGACAAAAAACATCTCCCAAAGAAGCCCTCTATTTCTGGTGTGAAGAATGGGAAAGAGAGCCCCTCCAGGTCAGAGAGAGGGTAGAAAAGCCCTGTTTATTTTTGTTTTTTCCATTCATTCCTGCCCCAGCCCCCAGGCAATCTAGTGACAATAGTGGTGGCAATGGCAGTGACAGCCAGACAGGTGACTGCAATTCTAAGGGAGGAGAATCCTTCTCTTTGACCAAAAGAACTGTGGTCCCAAGAGCCTGGGGGAAGTTCCTGTTGCTTCTTTTTTCCCCCCATATACAGTTTGCTGCTTTTTGGCACAGCAGAGCAGGGAAACTAAAACTCTGGCTTTTCAGCCAGAGGACCAAGGTGAGGGTGGAGGGGGCAGGGTCTCCTGGAAACTGGAAAGTGTTGAGGAGATCATGGGGAGGCGGGACTAGAGGAAGTGATCCCATGAAGTAGCGTATGAACGTCTGACCCCACCCCAAAGCTGACCCTACCA